TGGGCTTTGATTGGTGGCAGACAGCAGCTTTCACCCATGAAGCTTTGAGGGCCGTACTCTAACCACACAGCATGATGCTTCCACTGCCGTGCTGCCAGCTGAGGAAGCGTCTGGATCCAGACTAGGATGATGTGACCCCTTAATAAACATTGGAGCGCTGTTAGCTTAATGCTAGTTTGATCAAAGGTCACAGAGCGATCAGCTTTACTCAATGATGGATCAACCAATCAGAATCAATCAGGTGTTTTTATTATTTAATTTGATAAGCGGGTATTTTGATGTTTGTCCACCGATATCTGGAGGGTAGAAAACGCTCCTCACGGTGCAGCATCTTTGTCTCTCAGGTGTTCCTGGAGTTTGCTAAGGAGCAGGAGAGCGAGGAGGATGTGGGGGGACCCCTCAGCACCACCTTCCAGTGGCAGCGGCTGCAGCAGGACGGCTCCACCAGCCAGGCAGACAGCACGGTGCAGCAGCTCTGATCCATCCACGGCTTTCATCCCGTCCTCCCTGGAGCACGCCGCGCAGGGCGCTCCTCGGCCCGCCGAAGCCACGGCCCGTCCGCTTCCTCCTGCTGCCTCCATTCCTCACAGGGATCCGTTTCTGGGGGCGGGTTTCCTTTCGGGGTTCAGTCGGGTTTTTACGTGTTTTTATGGCATGAATTTATGGGAAAATTAAAACCGAGATCCGTCGAAACCAAAGCAGCACGTCTCTGTTAGAGCTGCTGTTCACTGTGTCATCCAGAGGGGGCGCTGCTGCGCCGCCAGACTCTGCAGCACAGCGCCCTCTGCTGTCTGCTCTGCCTGAGACGGTTGTGTCCATCCCTCCACGGCGGAGGAGGTGCTGACGCCTCCTCCAGCAGGTGTTCTGCTCCTCTGTGGATGATGCTGTAAGCTCTGTTTATCGATGGAAGCATCGTTGGTGCAATACCTTCAACAAATTGTAATTTTTTATGACATTCAGGGGGAGAGCCGCAGGCTGAAGGGAGAAAAACTTTTTGTTTTCTGATCGTCTTCAGTGGATAGTTTTTTCTTTGGGTGGGGGGGGGTGATGGAGGGGGGGTTTCAGCCGTTTCCTCAGAGAGTCAAACACTGATGCTGCCTTCACTTTAACGCGTTTTCTGGGATGCTCTGTTTACATGAGGATTCAGGATGCAGCCGACCTCAGAGCAGCGCTGCAGGAACGTCTCCTGACCCGATCCTCTCTGCGCTTTAGCTGCTTTTATATTTGCACTGATTCTGGGAGATTTCAGTTTTCAGCTTCATTTTATGCAAACTTGGTGAAATGTGTTTGGGAAGAGCTCCTCGTTTGTTTGTGTCGTGTTTGTTCTCGTGTCGTATCGGTGTTAAAAAGACAAACCTCAGTGATAAACTAACCTTCTAATGTTGAATCAATAAAAGAACCTGCTGGTGGACACTTTCAATGACTTCACACAGATTATTTTATTATCATGTTCATCTTTAAGGCCTGTTATAGAAGGGGAGAAAATCCCAGACAAGTTTAATGAAGATTTAGTCAGTAAAGCAAAATATATTAAAATAAATGCTTATTTATTTCATAGAATTTTGTGCTTTGAATACAAACACCAGCGAAAAGTGTCGCATAAAAAGTTTAAATTCAATACATGTTATATTGAGGGGAAAAAAGCAACTCAAACATAAATATATATTATATATTATCAGACATGTAACAATAGCATTAAACCATTTATATAACATCAACATCATCAATTTATCACTTTTGGCTCATTTTTATTATTCGGCTCCATTAACACATTAATTTTAATGTGATGAATTTATATAATATGTTATATTACATGATTTATAGACTTCATAATGACTATTCAATGTGATTGGCTGATTTTTTTTTATT